TATACCCCCCTGTGGCCCTTGGCATATCTCCACGTGGTGACTGTATAGGGCCCCTAACATGTGCTCAAGCGGGGGTCTCTCTCAGCTTGAAAAACTAAACCCCATTTATTATTTATGGAAGGACATAAACTCCCGGGACTGTGACCCTCTCCTACTCAATGGTCCGCTCCAGCCATCAATAATTCTTTCTTCCATCCACGGGAGCGGATTTATGCGGCGCATGGGATGTAATGTGATTTATGTAAACAATGCATATTTCAGACACACATTACTAGTCACTTGCTTATGGAGTCTAATCAATAGGCTGTCACGGTGATGGAAAGGGGATTAGATGAAGAGTGTTTTTCATCCTCCATGACGTTCTTGCATTCCCTTCATCCATCCAATTCTCTCCAATTCCAAATAAGGAATACATTTGTGTTATGATCAGCTTTTTGCTTTAAACATCTATATTGAAAACACTGAAAGGTTGACTTTAATTAATGTCAACAGATCTCACATAACTGTATTAGGTTAGTTGAAAGCAATAGTATCAAGTATAGGTAGAAAATATAAGGTGCAACATAATAGTATTGCTTTCAACTAACCTCTTACAGTTATATTGACATGATACATTTAATTAAAGTCAAGTTTTTTCAGTGTACGAACACATGCTGAGAAAGAAAGTGAGGCTCTTACAGGCTCTTGCTGGTCGTCTAAAGACACGGCACTGAGGAGGATCTTTGTGCGGCCCAGCTCCTGAGAGTCCACTTTGATCAGTCTGTGTTTGGGGGATTTCACGTCCACGGTGGAGGACTTCATGGGAGAGCCGTACACCGGTGTGGCGGGGTCAGAAGTCCCAGATTCACCCCTGGTTCTGCTTTCCGAGTCCTCGTAGGGATCCTCGAAGTCCATGTCCCTCTGGAGCCGGTACGCCTTGAGGATCTCGCTCTCTGTGTAGTCTGGTGTGGGAGGCTGTGGAGGAACCTTCCTGCTGCCAAAGCTCAGGTAGTCTTTCAGCCACTTGGCCATCGCAGCGTCCAGACGGGCTGGTGTGTGGAGGAGTGAGAGCAGGAGGCTGCAGGGGCAAACAGGGACATGCAGGTTAACGCTTGACCCCATTTCTGTTGCAGTTATGGATTGGACAAGATAAAAGAGGGATAAACACATCCAACCAAGAACAAAATTAATCCACAGGTCCTTATCCTTGTATAATAATTATGGACAACTTCCTCCTGATCACAGAGCCCCCACGTTTACATGCTTCATTTGACATTAAACTACACCAACAGCTGGGCTTTACACACTCCTTTTATTTTATGCAGGGGGCAATAACGTCTGGCGTCTGGACTTTGCCCAAAGGATGCAATCACATTTCACACCCCTGCAATAAAATCCAACGTTAACACGCTGATTGAAAAAGGGGGGAACACAATGACTGTATGAGAATATCTATACTAAACTATGAGGAATTAAAATAAATTGAAATGGATTGAAATGTTTGGATTTTTAACCAACATTAAATGCAACATGTTTACTTTTGGAACAGGCTTATTTGGGAAGCTTTGTCCAGGAAATAAGATGTTTTTTCCTAAACTTAAAGTCAAATCAGTCACCAAAACAGTGGATTTAAATCGCAGTGAGTAGTAGAGCGCACTCACTTACCAAGCCTTCAGTCCTTCAGCCACTTTGAACGCTTTATTCCACGTTTCTTCATGACGATGATAATAAAACGGCACAAAGAAGCGATAAAACCCTCCACTCCAGGCGCTTTATATTCCACAAAAACACAAGAAAAGGGGAAAAACAGCAGCTTTCATTTCAAAACAAGAGCTCTGAAATCAGGTGCTGAGTTCTTGACTGCAAATGTGCGAGTGCAGAGAGCGACTACAGCTCCGAGACAAACTCAGCCGAGCGATTAAAGGGGAGGCGCTTCATTCCCAAAGGAATATCCTCCTATTCCCTTTCGCAGTCAGCCGACCGTTCATTCATTGAAATATCTGCACATCGACTGCAACAAGAGATGCGTCTCCTTTCATTTTCACTACAAATGCATGGGGAAAACCAACGAACAAAACTGAGCAGGAAAGAAAGCAGCTCGCACGAATGTTCTCCAAGCATTTGAATTATTTATCGAGTGACATCACTGGAGTATTTTTTTGTTTTAGCTTGACTGAAGGGATTTGTAATGATTTTTGCACTTTTTCCCAAAACAAGGAAAGTCTACAAAAGCCCTGAAGTGTTTACTACGGAAGAGGATTGGGGACACATGTGAAAACAAATGTGAGATGTTGAGATAAAAGTGAGGATTCTGAGAAAAAAAGTCAGAATTCAGAGATTTTTAAAAAACATTTGGTCACATCCCCCCAAAAACAAAGTCTCATGTGGCCCTTATCCTCTATTGTATAGTTTACAAAACGGTTATATGCTTCCTCAAAAAAGGTTTGGGAATGTAAGAAAATCCCCTCATTATCTGGGACACCAAAAACAAGATGACAAAACCACTGAGGCCTGTCCAATCTGATAGAAAAATAAGGCATTTTGTTGAGTGTTCATGGCTTTTGTTTCATCCTTTCACAGATGTTCCATTATCCCAGGTCCAGGCGGGTAAATTGGATTGTGTGCTACAGTGGGTAAGGCCATCTAAGTCTGTTAAAAGACCGTAAATGCCTCTTTCTTTACGACACTCATGAGCTCACTTTTTCCCAGGGGCGGGGAGACTGGATGAGGTCATCCAGCTGAAATTCCCGTCCCCCCGCTCTTCTTTCTATGTCCTTCTATGAGCTCAGGGACTTCTCGGTTTCTACGTAAAGACATTGTAGACTTCTTTTTGAAACCCCCTTCTTCAAAATTAGAATACCCTAGAACACAAAGACACACGGGTTGTACTAGACTGAACTAGAGACCTAGAGTAAGGGTCTTTCTATTTCTGACATAGTGTTGCATAACTAGACCAGGGTTGTCCTATATCCTAGTGTGAAACCCAGGAACAAGGGAGCTCATTTTCAACAGATTGTTAGAACTAAGACGATTGCGTATTTGTGTATACACATACGTACCTCTTCTTCTGTATTTTGTCTATATCCTTAGACCCCCTTTGAATAGAAGGTGACATTGTGAAAACCTGTCCGGAAACACAGTCCTACTACAGTTACATTAAGCTAGGACAGAAGTGCAAATGTTCGGAGTGACGATATTGCTAATTTGACCTGACGTCCCTGGCAAGGTTCTACAAACGTAGTGTGTGGGAAGGGAGACGAGTCTAACCCTGAACAAAGGACTAGGGCGTACCTGGGAGGAAGTCCAGACTTCGGGCCACGAACTAACCTAGTGACCTGGTCGCGCCTCCTCCTTCTACCCTATTACACCCTGCACTAACACTACCCCCCCCCC